CAGCCATAAAAAGAAATGAAACTGAGCTATCTGTAATGAGGTGGATAGACCTAGAGTCTGTCATACAGAGTGAAGTAAGTCAGAAAGACAAAGACAAATACCGTATGCTAACACATATATATGGAATTTAAGAAAAAAAAATGTCATGAAGAACCTAGGGGTAAGACAGGAATAAAGACACAGACCTACTAGAGAATGGACTTGAGGATATGGGGAGGGGGAAGGGTAAGCTGTGACAAAGCGAGAGAGAGGCATGGACATATATACACTACCAAAGGTAAGGTAGATAGCTAGTGGGAAGCAGCCGCATAGCACAGGGAGATCAGCTTGGTGCTTTGTGACCACCCGGAGGGGTGGGATAGGGAGGGTGGGAGGGAGGGAGACGCAAGAGGGAAGAGATATGGGAACATATGTATACGTATAACTGATTCACTTTGTTATAAAGCAGAAACTAATACACCATTGTAAAGCAATTATACTCCAATAAAAATGTAAAAAAAAAACATATTTGAATAACACATATCTTCCTGTTCTTAATTTTAAAATAAATACCTGCCTCCCAGAAAGCTTTGACAGGTAGAAATAAGACATTAAAGAAAAAGCAAATGGATATGAAGCCTCCAAAACATGAATATGGACTAGGTGGCCAGTCCTTGTACCCTGTTGTCACCTGTCATTTCCTAGGGGCAACTTACAGCCTTTTCCTCAAGCTTCCATCAACTGCTTAGAATCAGCCACCAAGAAGAGATGGCAACTAATTTGGTTTCTAATTGTTTTAACATTGACGCTCAGCCCCTACATTATTCAAACACACTTTCAGACCCATTCCTTAGAGAGACCTTCTCCATGTGCTGAGAGTTAAAAGGGTAGAAGATTCTCTATACCCAAGTGATTTCCATTAAAAAGTCTCTATACCCAAGTGATTTCCATTAAAAAGGACATATACACAAAATAAGTCATGCACATAAGGTAACGACATAATGCTGAGTTCCTAATGACACAAAAGATGCCAAGCTTGTTCTAGACAGCACCGTCACTGATGACTTCATGGAGTCATGGAGGTGGCAGAGTCTAAACCAGGGAGGACAGAGGGGACTGGGGACAGACGTTTCCTGGCAAGATGGCACACGTGCAAAAAGCCACGAGAACAACTTAACAAAATAAAATCCAATTTAAAAATAAGCAAAGAGGGCTTCCCTGGTGGCGCAGTGGGTGAGAGTCCGCCTGCCAATGCAGGGAACACGGGTTCGTGCCCCGGTCTGGGAAGATCCCACATGCCACGGAGCAGCTAGGCCTGTGAGCCATGGCCGCTGAGTCTGCGCTCCGCAACGGGAGCGGCCACAACAGTGAGAGGCCCGCATACCACAAAAAAATAAAAATAAAAAAATAAGCAAAGAACTTGAACAGACATTTCTCCAAAGAAGACATACAAATGGCCAACCAGCACATGAAAAGATGCTCAACATCACTAATCATTAGGGAAATACAAATCACAATGAGATACAATCTCATACCCATTAAGAGGGCCATCATAAAAAAAAAGTGTTGACAAGGACATGGAGAAACTGGAACCCTCCTCTTATGCATTGTTTGTGGGGATGTAAAATGGTACAGCTACTGTGGAAAACAATATAGAGGTTCCTCAAAAAATTAAAAATAGAATTACCATAGGATTTAGCAATCCCACTTCTGGGTTTATACACAAAAGAACTGAAAACAGGATCTTGAAGAGAGATTTGCACACCCATGTTCATAGCAGCATTATTGACAACAGCCAACATGTGGAAGCACGACTTCCCTGGCGGTCCAGTGGTTGGAACTCTGCCCTTCCACTGCAGGGGGCCCAGGTTCGATCCCTGGTCAGGGAACTAAGATCCTGCATGCTGAGCGGCATGGCCAAAAAAACAGACGTAGAAGCAACCCAAATATCCATCAATGGATGAATGGATAAAGAATATGTAGTACATACATACAGTGAAATATTATTGAGCCTTAAAAATTAAGGAAATCCTGTCCTATGCTACAATATGGATGAAACTTGAGAACACTATGCCAAGTGAAATCAGCCAGTCAACCCAAAAAAAAAAAAAAAAAAAACACAACAGGATACTACAGAGAATATTAACCACATTGACAAAACTTTAAAAATGTAACATCGGGGCTTCCCTGGTGGCGCAGTGGTTAAGAATTCGCCTGCCAATGCAGGGGACACAGGTCCGAGCCCTGGTCCGGGAAGATCCCACATGCCGCGTAGCAACTAAGCCCGTGAGCCACAACTGCTGAGCCTGCGCTCTAGAGCCCGCGAGCCTCAATTACTGAGCCCACGTGCCACCACTACTGAGACCCATGCGCCTAGAGCCCGTGCTCCGCAACAAGAGAAGCCACCGTAAGGAGAAGCCTGCGCACTGCAACGAAGAGCAGCCCCCGCTCGCCACAACTAGAGAAAGCCCGCGTGCAGCAACGAAGACGCAACACAGCCAAAAGTAAATAAATAAATAAATTTATTAAAAATTAAAAAATAAATAATAAAAATGTAACATTAAGTGAAAAAACAGAATATATGCAACATTTTTAAGTAAAAAATTTTAACTCACACACACACAAAAAAGACAAACGCCTCATACAAATGGAATCATGCAGTATGTAAAGTTGCCAAACTCTCAAGAAAAGGAAGTTGGGGGGGAGGGGGAGAAGGCGACTTATTGTTCGATGAGTTTAGAGTTTGTTTTGCGAGATGAAAAAGTTCTAGAAGTCTGCTCTACAATGATGTATATATAGTTAACACTACTATACTATACATGTAACAATGGATACGATGGTAAATTTCATGTTGTTTTTGACCACAATATTAAAAAGCCATGAGGAAAGCAGATGCTGCTGCATGCCCGTCCTTCCCCACCCCACCCCCCGGAGTGGCTTACTAAATAGATGATGCAGTAACTGTGTAAAAGATGAGAAAATTAGCTTTGCATGCAATGAATTAGAACAGGATAATCACAGCACCATTGGCACAAACCCTCCAGCTCTGCCTTCTTAGCTTCTTTGGCTCAACTGTCCCCGTGATCCTCATTGCTCTTCATGTCCACAGAGATGGCCCCCTCCTGATACTCATTTGGAAAAGTGCAGAACCCTCTGGAAATAAGCTCTCAGCCACGTGGAGGTCATCCTTCCATGGGGAGGGGACATGTTTCACGGGACTAACCACTGGATCTAGGTTCAAGGCTCTCAGGAACCCTACGTATTCTGCTGTCACCAGGCCACCACCTCCTTTGTTCTTAATATTGACCTCAGGGCCAGTCTGATTTATAGATGGATCAGCTTCTTCCCCTCCTTCCCATAGGATGGCAGACAAGCCTCATGGGGCCTGGTCACGCCGTCAGGCCACCGTGTCTGAGGAAAGGCAGAGGTTGGAGAGGGTCCAGGGCAGCAGGTGACAGTGATTAAAGGGCTGGAAACCAAGGCAAACTTTCGGATGGGGGCCTCCACAGGACTTATGCTGTCCAGTAGGGAGGCCCACTGACGCTGCAACAGCATCCAGCTGCTTCCTCCCTCCCCAAAGGGGTCCGACGGCAAGAGGCTTAGTTTGTGCTGATAAGGCAGGTGAAGTTCAGACCAACAACCCCGCACAGAGAAGTCTAACACAAAATGGACTCTTCAGGGAGGGGTCAGAAACATTTTGCCTAGATCCTTAAGGAAAACCTGTTTCCCCCAGGGATTAAATATATGTGAAACCCTCAGCTTTATAGCCTGTGGCCCAGAGGAAGCCCTCCATAAACAGCAGCTAGTTTTATTTTCCCGTCTTAATCTCATGCTTTTACAACAAAAATCTTTATACAGCTTCCAAGAAAAGGCCTATGAAGTCAGATACATGAGTACATGTACATGAAAACATCCATCCAGCTCCTCACTGAAATTGTGCATATTAAGAACTTTAGTGTTATACCTCAAGAGAAAACTGTAAAAGACAAAAATGGACAAAACAAGACCTCTGGGTCAGTGAGAGATTTTGTTGAGGCCAATAAAACGCTCTACAATGATGGAAATGTTTCCTCTGTGCCAGCCAACACAGCAGCCAGCAGACATCTGTGACTACTGAGCACTTGAAATGTGACTAGAGTGACTAAACTGAATTTTTTATCTAATTCTGATAAATTTAAATAATGACTGCTTTATTGGGCAGTCCCAGCATATCGCAAGTCTCAAGGGCAAAGACATCTTCTTCCTTGCATCTCCCTCAAAGCCCCTAATAGATCAGAATATATCATATGCACTTTGGGAAGGAAATAAATGACTATTTTAAAACAACGTATATGTATTTCATAAAATATTATACTGTGTAGGAATAAGTAGGAATGAAGTACTGATACGCACAATATGGATTCATCTCAAAAGTATTCTTTTGAGTGAAAAAAAGCCTTACACACAAGAACACACACTGTAGGATTCCATTTATATGAAGTTCTTGAAAAAGCAGAAGTAACCCACAGTAATACACATCATAACAGTGGTTGCCTTGAAGTGGGAGTAGTTGACTAGTAAGAAACATAAGAGGAAAAAAAAAAAGAAAGAAACATAAGAGGACTTTTGGGGACAACAGAAATATTCCATATCTTGATGGGTGGATGGTCACACAAGTGTGTACAAATGTCAAAACCCAAACTTTAATCTTAAGATCTGTGCATTTTATGTAAGTTATACCTCAATTTAAAAAGATAGCCACAAGAAAATGCTTATGTAATGAATGAGATTTGCAAAGTACTTTTCACCTACATTTCATTTGCCATTTTTCAATAACAACATCTCAGCACCCTGGACAGACATTATTAACATTTGACAGATGAAGAAAGTAAAAAGATAAATGATTTGTCCAAGTAGTAGTCCAGAAGAGGCAATCTCAAAGCCATGCCCTTATTGCCATGCCATTCAGCTTTCCTAAGGGGTCAAGGTCATTCATTTCCAGGGTGCCACCCTCTCCCCATGGCTCCCCCAGGAGGCCTTACCAGCACGCGGCCATCAGCCTTGGGCTGCCGGGCCAGGCTCACCCCCATCCACTCATCATCTCTGTCTTCCCGGCAGGTCTTTCCACAGGGCATACCCCGATTCTTCCCTGGAGGAAAGAGAGAAAAACCAGGCTTGGACTGAGGAATGCTACTCTCCTGTCTGCTTTCCAAAGGTCGTAACAAACAACCCAAGTGTTTGTTACTGTTACCGAACGCAGGACCCTGTGCCCGATGCACAGTGAGGCCAAACAATACGGAAGTCGGAATTGGGAACAGAGAAAGGTTTATTGCAGTGCCCTGCAAGGTGACAGGTGGCTCAAGGCTTAGAAAACTCCACACTCCCTGAAAGCTTACAGCAAAGCCCTTTTACAGGAAAGGCGAGGCAGGGGCGGGGTTAGTTTCTGGAAGCTTCTTGGTGTCAGATCCTTTGTTCCTGAGGTCCGGTCACGATGTTGCTGTAAACGTCCACCAAACAAATGTTAGTCTCTGTTATGACAAGAAGGGGCAAGGTCGCAAGGATCAACTTTTGCCCTCCTAGGTCCAGGCCTCGTTAAGAGGAGGGGTCCCTGCGCAGGCCGATCACCCTGCCCGGGAGCGCTGGTCCAGCACCCAGCCCGGGTCCTCCCGCCAGTGCCCAGCCCGGCTGAGGAGGAAGATCTCAGCTGGCGGCGCCCTCAGGGCCAGGTCCCCAGGGCCAGGTCCCCAGGCCCCGCCCAGCCGTCATCGCTGAGGGAGCCAGACGCCCAGGACCCAGCGGGCCCTCAGGCTCCTTAGGCCGCCCAACTCGGGGCCAGGTCCCGCAGACTGCGACCCAGGGTGACCGCCGCCGCCATTAGGTCGCGGAGGTGGGCACGAGGGCTCTGGAGCCCTGCAGGACACAGCCCTCGGCCTGTCCCCGGGCCCCCAGCTCACCCGTCGGCGGAGGCCGAAAGGCCTGGAGGACCCGGGGGAGAAGGCCGTGACCCGTCTGTCTCCACACTCTGCCGCGATGACCGCTTCCCCACTGACCCGGCGGAGCGCGACCTCTGACCTCTGCGCTCCGGCTCTCGCGGTAACAGCCGCGCGGCTGCCCCGCCCCTATTACATTACCAGCCCGTAAATAAGGAGCTGATAACAAGATGCAAGTTGACTCCACCACCACGTATGTTGTTTAATTGTCAATTTTTTTTCATAGCAAGACTTTCTCAAGGAAGGAAGCAGTACATTGATTTATATTACGAAGTAAGCTCCTTAATTTGTTATATACCAGTAACGGCCCACAAACCAGTCGTAGACACCATGGACACCTCCCCTATTTCTGCTGTAGAAAATCGTGACAATTCTTCATTTAAAAAAAATAATAGAAAATCTTGAGGGGAAAGGACTTTGAAGAAAGTGAGGTCTTGAATTGATGAGTACAATAAAATATATCTCTTACTTATTGAGAACCGACTATGTGCCAAGCACAGTTCTGTGTATTCATCTCTATTATCTCATCAATCCTCTCAAGGCAATCCTTATGAGATAGCTATCTTCCTTCTGATTTTACAGGTGAGGCAACTGAGGCCAAAGAGTAACTGGCAGAGCTGGGCTCTGAACCCAGGCAGATCTGACTCCAAAGATGATATATTTTCCACCAGACCAAGCGGGCTCTTATAAACATCCCTCAGTCATATCTTTTCCTACTTAAAACATAAAACCTAACATTGCTTTTAATGGCCTCCCACCTTGCACGTAGGATAGAATCCCAACACCTTACCCCAGCCTGTCGGGCCCTGTGTAGTCCAGCCCCAGCCCACCTCACCAACCTCCTCTGCTTCCACGCTCCCCTGCTCACCACTCCAGTGATGCTGTGCTTGCTCTAAATTTTAAAATGGCACAAACTTTCCTCCACTTGGAGGTTCTGCCTCCTGTAGCTGCCCGGCTTACTGCTGTGCATCTTTCCGGTCATTGTAAAAGTCACTGCCCCAGACCCTCCAATCTAGATCAGATCAAATACTCACCTCCCCTCTGGTCTTCTCACACTCAATTATTTGTTTAATATCTCTTTTGCCTACTAATTTATAAGGCCCAGGACAGCAGGATCTTTGGTGTATCCCAGTGTTTACGAAGTAACAGATACTCAATACGTGGTGGGTGGATGGGTGGAAGGAAGGAAGGAAAAATGGATGAATAATCAGGAAGAAAAAGAGGAAAGTGTGAGGGTGTGATACCCATTCCCAACTTGGCAGTGAAAATCCACTCACCTCGAGCCATGTCCAGTTCGGTGCATCTTCGGTCAGGGTTGGTGTGGACGCGGCACTTAAACACAGCCCCAGGGGACTTCACTGAAGTGCTGTACTTGGAATCCGCCTTTGGTGCACCCACAAGGACCCTGCACATCAAGAAGAAAGGGCATTCGGTCACAACCCGGTACTAAGAAAGGGCAGCCAATGGTTAAATCCTCACCCAACCATGGGTGTGTTGTCTGAATGCTCCCTGGGAGATCATACCCCAGCACTACACAGTGCTGGAGGGGGGTGGGGGCAGAGGGGAGGGACTCCTACAGTGAACCTGTTATGATTTTAACATGCCTGGAAAAAAATCTGAGTTTGGTTGGGAACACATACCACCAACAAACAGTTCCTATCCAGAATGTATAAAGAACTCCCACAGATCAATAACAAAAATACAGACAAACCAATAGAATAATAGACCAAAGACTTGAACAGATCTTTGATGAAGAAAGATAAATGGCCAATAAACATATGAAAAGGTGCTCAACTCTGTTAGTTATCAGAGAAATCCAAATGAGATACCACTTCACACCACCTAGAAGGCTAAAACCAAAAAGACTGAAAACGCCAAGTGCTGACAGGATATGGAGCACCTGGGACCCTCACACCATGCTGTGGGGAGTGTAAACCATCACGACCACTTTGGAAAAGTGATTCAACAACTCCTAAGAAAGCTAAAACAGTGCCTACCTTCTGACCCAGCTATCTCATATCTAGGAACATACCCAACAGAAACGCACATATGTCTACAGGAGACATGCACAAAATGTTCACAGCTGGGTGTGAAACAGCCCCAAACTAGAAGAAACCCAAAGATCCATCAGTGCTAGAATGCATAAATAAACTGTGGTGTAAAAATAGAATTCTATACAGCAATGAAAATCAATGAACAGTCAACTACAACCTCATGGATGAAACTCACAAACACTGAGAAAAAGACATTGGGGACAGTAGTGTACTCACTGCCTGATTCCACTTATCTGATGTTCAAAAGTAGGTGAAATTTAACAGTTGTGTTAAAGGTTGGCTACCTCGGGAGATGGAAGAGGGTTGTAACCAGGAAGAAGGGCTCCTGGAGGGAGGTGCTTAAAATGTTCTCTTTTTCAAACTGAGTGGTGTTTATACAAATTTGTGAAAATTTATTCAACTGTAGATATGTCAATGGGCACTCTTCTGGATGGGTTATACTTCAACCTTTTAAAAACTTTAGTGAATAAATAAAAAAGAAATTTAGAAATGCCTTTTGACCCATGTCCCCCTCTTGCCCCTCCCTGCCACACACATGTGTACCTTTAGGGGTGACAGGAAAGAAGTAGCAGCAATGTGGAATTATAAACTGCGTCCTCTAGCCCAAAGCAAACCGGAGATAGAAGAGTTTGGCTACAACAGGGCACGAACGTGGTTGTGCATCTTTCATCTTGAACTGAAAAGCTGCCCTGGGGATGAGCCGTCCCCAGCAGGGCCCTTGCCCACTGGAGGAAAAGAGCAAGACACACCAAGATGACAGAGACACACATTTGGGTACAGAACATGGGGGAATGGCACACATTCCCCTCCAGATGTTACAAAAACAATTCTGACCTACAGTTTTGTGCATTGTTTCTGGAAAGCAGTCAACCGAAGAGCTGTAGCAAAGAATACTAACTACCCCCAGTCAGGAATGGTTGGTGCTGAGCTACAAGGACCTGTACAACGAAACTTTAAACAAAACCCATGCTGATGTTCAAAGAGTAGACAGTGCCAAGCCACTGCTCAACTGGAACGTGAGCTGCCCCGTATCTCAAGCAGCCTGGAAGGGAGAAGCAATTCCCTCCCAAGGCTATCGGGCATGTTACGAAATAGATCATTTCCCACTGGCCTTGGAATGGAAAGCATTCTCCGTCATGCATCTCTGGAAAAGGTGTCTAAAAGCACAGGTTAGAAGGACCTTAAACAGCCTCCCTAGGGCTGTAGAAAGCTGACAAAGTCTCCCCCCCAACTCTGTCCTAAAAGCCACCTTCATCTTGGGATCTCGAACGTTCACCCCAACCCTGGTCTCAGAATGACGCTGCTCCCCTCCAACGCTCCGGCTGAGCGAAGGGGTGGAGATCTCCAGATCCGAAAACGGAGGGCTGAGACCCTCAGACGGGCCTTCAGCAAAGGCTGGCAGACCCCACAGGGACACCACCCTAATCTGGCTCAGAGACATGGTGTCAGGTTCACAAGGAGGCACGTGGGTCCCCTGAGCCCAATCCTTCAACCCCCAGGCTAGGAAGGGTGTCCTTAGTGGAACCTTTCTTTCCAGGTCAGTCTCAGAGAGTCTGGATCTGATCCTATGAGGAATCAAATCATACCACACTGAGGGGTGAGAGGAGCCAGGCCCCCAGCAGTGAGGGCACCCCCAAGCTGCCTGCTGCCGCTCAGTAACAGCCCAGGATCTGCAACCCGCCAGTGCTCCCCGGGCAGCTCCCAGCCTCTGCCTCACCACGATGGGCCACAGCTGCAGGACCCCCAAGCAGAAGGGGGGCTGGAACCCATCACCTTTGGAAATCCTAGCAAGCACTTTCCCCACAGACCACACTGCTTCCATCAACCACATGAGGGCAGCTTAGCCGGCCTGCGACTGCTCTCACTCAAATACAGGACGACACACCAAATGAAACTCCAGTGAGAAGAAAGCCACATGAAGGGGTCAATTTCCCCCCTCCACCCCGGCTTCTGGGGCTGAGCTCCAGAGCCACCGGGGCTCGGCCAAGGGTGGCTCTCTAATGCTGGCTGTGTTTACACAGGTGAGAGGCACCAGCAGCTTGCCATCTCTACACTGTAACACCCACCACCTTTCCACATGGCAGGCCATAGGAGCTGTGGCACATAAAATACCTCCTCCACTAGAAAACCCCCATGGGACAGACCTGGGTCCAGAAATTCCCACCAACTCCCAACTTATATCAGCACAGCGAATAAACGCCAATTGCAATCCATGCTATTAAAAAAAATCACAAAAAACTAAACAAGGTGGAGAATTCATCATGTACAAAGGAAGGGAAATGGCTGCAAGAAACAATGGGCTGTTTCTCTGTTATGTCCCCCACAGTGGCATTGGAACCCCAGACCTTCCACAGACTGCCACTGCTCCAGACTTCTCAACACAGATACTCAGGTATCCAAGCAGGAAGGACCCTGGAGAGCTTAAATCCCAGCACTGCTTTTCCCAGCCGAGAGCTGAGACAGAGAAGCAGAAACTTATTTCAGAATCGAAAGTTGGAGAAGGGACCTGCTGAATTATGTTTTCCTTCCAAGCCCAAGGTACTCAATGATCCTAACAACAAGGGCTGATCAAGCACTGATAACAACCATCTGGTTCAAACTCTTAATCAGCTGCTCAGAGGAGGTTTTTTCCCCCAAATCTAACAAGAAATGAAGCAAGAGATAAGGGGGCGTGTGTGCACTTGTGTGCATGACATTCACAGTGGTGGCTCGCTGGAGGACGAGCCCGTATCTCTGTGTTCACAGAACATTGTGGCTTCCTCCGCAGCCTGGTGCTGCTCTTTACCTAGGCCGCCGGCCAGCAAGACTGCTCTACAGGCCAGCCGATGAGCTTGCCTCTTCTGAAGTTAGTTCAGCTGGTTATTCGCCAGGCTGGTCCCAAGAGAGAGGGCAATGGCCCAGAGTTCAGGGCATGCCACTGAAAGATGCCATCTGCTTTCTTTCTCGTTCTCAGTTACAGAGAGACATCCCAGCCACTTCAAATGTCCCCCTCCCCCCAAAATCTTTCCCGGCACTCTTGACAAGACAATAAGTTGTTTCTTTCCTCTGTACAGTTACCATCTAAAGGAATGTCCCCACCAACAGGCTCCCAGTGATAAATCATCAGGCTGTTTCGGACCTTTGCTTGCTACTTCAAGTGTGGTCCTCAGGCCAGCAGCATGGAAAACACCTGGGAGCCTGATGGGAATGCAGAATCTCAGGCTCCATCCCCAGCCTGCTAAATCAGAACGTGCATTTTAACAAGCTCCCCAGGTGATTTATAATCTAAGAAGTGTTACAGAACCACCTACGCTGATTACAAAGAATCACGTTCATCTGGGGCCCGTATGAACTGATGACCCCGAGAAGCAAGGCTCTCCTCTCTCATCCCCAGTTAAAGATGCATACAAACTTCCCAGACATTTTAGCCTCCTCCTTAACTCAGAGCTTGGGTTCCTAATTACAAGGACAACCAGCCTGTAATGGGCCCTTGGAGTGTGCAGGTGCTGGGCTAGGCTCCCTCTGGGCACAACTGCATTTCATCTTCACAGCAAGCCTATGGGAGGCACTGATATTATCCCCACTTTACAGATGGAGAAGCAGGTGGCCACACAAGGTCATGGGACTTGCCTGAGCCCACAAAGCACGGTAAGACACCAAGTGCAGCACGCACCCCAGCAGTGGGGTGCAGGGCCCACGCCCCTACTCTGCCATCCCACGTCAGCCAGAAAGGAGGAAAAGGGAGCCAACAGGTATCGAGAACCCTCTCTGGTGCCAGCCACTCACACATGTGACCTTGTCTGAAAAAGGCATGCGATGCTCTGCAGGTGGCCCTGAGCTTAGAACTTAGATTGGAAGCTCTGTCCCCAAAGGACAGACAGGGGTTTGGAACTGAAAGATGGTCCTTCTCCTCCCCATCAGGCTGAATTTCGATCATCTTGCTTTCCTAGAACGTTCACATGGTTGGCGTGGTGCTACCCAGAGGTTAGCCTCTCTCTGTCTCTCTTTGTATTTTATTGAAGTATAGTTGATTGAAAATGTTGTACGGCAAAGTGACTCAGTTATACATACATATTCTTTTTCATTTTCTTTTCCATTATGGTTTGTCACAAGATATTGAATATAGTTCCCTGTGCTACATAACAGGACCTTGCTGTTTAGAAGAGAACATAGGCAAAACATTCTCTGATATAAAACATACCACTGTTTTCTTAGGTCACTCTCCCAAGGCAATAGAAATAAAAGCAAAAAATAAACAAATGGGACCTAATAAAACTTACAAGCTTTTGCACAGCAAAGGAAACCATAAACAGAACGATAAGACAACCTATAGACAGGGAGGAAATATTTGCAAATGATGCAGCCAAGGGCT